AAAAACTACCCTATATCGTGTAGTTTGGAGTCCATCTATCACTACGTCTACCCTTTATCGTGTGGAGGCCATCTATCTTTACGTCTACCCTATATCGTGTGGCGGCCATCTATCACTACGTCTACCCTATATCGCGTAGTTTGGAGGCCATCTATCACCACGTCTACCCTATATCGTGTGGAGTCCTTCTATCACTACGTCTACCCTATAACGAGTGGAGGCCATCTATCTCTACGTCTGCCCTATATCGTGTGGAGGCCATCTATCACCACGTCTACCCTATATCGTGTGGAGTCCTTCTATCACTACGTCTACCCTATATCGTGTAGTTTGGAGGCCATCTATAACCACGTCTACCCTATATCGTGTGGAGGCCATCTATCTCTACGTCTACCCTATATCGTGTAGTTTGGAGGCCATCTATTACTACGTCTACCCTACATCGTGTGGAGGCCATCTAGAGGCCATCTATCACTACGTCTACCCTATATCGTGAGGTTTGGAGGCCATCTATCATCACGATGCAAACAGTGCTATCAATTTATCACAACTCTTCTCTGGGAAACATGAATAATGATTGAAACTACGCTTGTTTCATTTTCTAAAATGTTTCAGTTTAAATTCATGTTTATTTTTAGAAAATACCATGTTCATGTATATATCAACACTATAGGTATTAAGTTACAATGCATATTGCAACATATTTTGTAGAACATCTATTTCTTATTGTTGTTTCTGATTTCTTACAAAACTTTGTGATATTGTTAATTCTGATTTGTAGCACCATCTAATGTTACTGTTTCTTCAGATTTGATCAATGTTTTCTGGGATTTTTTTACAGATTTGTCATGACATATGTCCATATGTTCATTTATAATTATCACATGTAAAACAGACTAAATCAAAACGGTGCAGTAAAACAAGCGAACTTTTAGTGTAAGACTCTTGTTCATCAGAGGTCAAGAGACCAAACTTCCTCAGGGGTCACCCGCAAAGTCTTGTACTAACAACCATCATCAGGGGTCACCCGCCAAGTCCTGTACTAACAACCATCCTCAGTGATCACCCACAAAGTCCTGTACTAACAACCATCCCTAGTGATCACCTACCAAGTCCTGTACTAACGACCATTCCTAGTGATCACCTACCAAGTTCTGTACTAACAACCATTCCTAGTGATCACCTACCAAGTTCTGTACTAACAACCATTCCTAGTGATCCCCTACCAAGTTCTGTACTAACAACCATTCCTAGTGATCACCCACCAAGTCTTGTACTGACAACCATTCCTAGTGATCACCCGCCAAGTCCTGTACTAACAACCATGCCTAGTGATCCCCTACCAAGTTCTGTACTAACCACCATTCCTAGTGATCCCCCACCAAGTCCTGTACTAACAACCATGCCTAGTGATCCCCTACCAAGTTCTGTACTAACCACCATTCCTAGTGATCACCCACCAAGTCTTGTACTGACAACCATTCCTAGTGATCACCCGCCAAGTCCTGTACTAACAACCATCCTCAGTGATCACCCACAAAGTCCTGTACTAACAACCATCCCTAGTGACCACCGTCCAAGTCCTGTACTAACAACCATCCCTAGTGACCACCGTCCAAGTCCTGTACTAACAACCATCCCTAGTGATCACCCACCAAGTCCGGTACTAACAACCATCCTCAGTGATCACCCACAAAGTCCTGTACTAACAACCATTCGTAGTGATCACCCACCAAGTCCTGTGCTAACAACCATCCTCAGTGATCACCCACAAAGTCCTGTACTAACAATCATTCCTAGTGATTACCCACCACCGCAAAGTCTTGTACTAACAACCATCCCTAGTGATCACCTACCAAGTCCTGTACTAACGACCATTCCTAGTGATCACCTACCCTAACAACCATCATCAGGGGTCACCCCTCAAGTCTTGCATTAACAACCATCCCTCAGGGGTCACTCGCCATGTCTTGTACTAACAACCATCCCTCAGGGGTCACTCGCCATGTCTTGTACTAACAACCATCCCTCAGGGGTCTCTCGCCATGTCTTGTACTAACAACCATCATCACGGGTCACCCGCCAAGTCTTGCACTAACATCCATCATCAGGGGTCACCCACCAATTCTTGCATTAACAACCATCATCAGGGGTCACCCCTCAAGTCTTGCATTAACAACCATCCCTCAGGGGTCACTCGCCATGTCTTGTACTAACAACCATCCCTAGTGATCACCTACCAAGTCCTGTACTAACGACCATTCCTAGTGATCACCTACCAAGTTCTGTCCTAACCAACATTCCTAGTGATCACCCACCAAGTCTTGTACTGACAACCATTCCTAGTGATCACCCGCCAAGTCCTGTACTAACAACCATCCTCAGTGATCACCCACAAAGTCCTGTACTAACAACCATCCTCAGTGATCACCCACAAAGTCCTGTACTAACAACCATCCTCAGTGACCACCCACCAAGTCCTGTGCTAACAACCATCCTCAGTGATCACCCACAAAGTCCTGTACTAACAACCATCCTCAGTGATCACCCACAAAGTCCTGTACTAACAACCATCCTCAGTGATCACCCAGCAAGTCCTGTGCTAACAACCATCCTCAGTGATCACCCAGCAAGTCCTGTGCTAACAACCATCCTCAGTGATCACCCTCCAAGTCCTGTGCTAACAACCATCCTCAGTGATCACCCTCCAAGTCCTGTGCTAACAACCATCCTCAGTGATCACCCACAAAGTCCTGTACTAACAACCATCCTCAGTGACCACCCACCAAGTCCTGTGCTAACAACCATCCTCAGTGATCACCCACAAAGTCCTGTACTAACAACCATCCCTAGTGATCACCCGCCAAATCTTGTACTAACAACCATCCCTAGTGACCACCGTCCAAGTCCTGTACTAACAACCATGCCTAGTGATCCCCTACCAAGTTCTGTACTAACCACCATTCCTAGTAGTCCTGTACTAACAACCATTCTCAGTGATTACTCAACAAGTCTTGTAGTAAGACTCTTGTTCATCAGAGGTCAAGAGACCAAACTTCCTCAGGGGTCACCCGCAAAGTCTTGTACTACCAACCATCATCAGGGGTCCCCCGCAAAGTCTTGTACTAACAACCATCCCTAGTGATCACCTACCAAGTCCTGTACTAACGACCATTCCTAGTGATCACCTACCCTAACAACCATCATCAGGGGTCACCCCCCAAGTCTTGCATTAACAATCATCATCAGGGGTCACCCGCCAAGTCCTGTACTAACAACCATCCTCAGTGATCACCCTCCAAGTCCTGTGCTAACAACCATCCTCAGTGATCACCCTCCAAGTCCTGTGCTAACAACCATCCTCAGTGATCACCCACAAAGTCCTGTACTAACAATCATTCCTAGTGATTACCCACCACCGCAAAGTCTTGTACTAACAACCTTCATCAGGGGTCACCCGCCAAGTCCTGTACTAACAACCATCCCTAGTGATCACCCACCAAGTCCGGTACTAACAACCATCCTCAGTGATCACCCTCCAAGTCCTGTGCTAACAACCATCCTCAGTGATCACCCACAAAGTCCTGTACTAACAACCATCCTCAGTGATCACCCACCAAGTCCTGTACTAACAACCATCCCTAGTGACCACCTACCAAGTCCTGTACTAACAACCATTCCTAGTGATCACCTACCAAGTTCTGTACTAACCACCATTCCTAGTGATCACCCACCAAGTCCTGTACTAACAATCATTCCTAGTGATTACCCACCAAGTGCTGTACTAACAACCATTCCTAGTGATCACCCACCAAGTCTTCTACTAACAACAATCCTCAACGATCACCCGCCAATTCTTGTACTAACAACAATCCTCAGGGATCACCCACCAAGTCCTATACTAACAATCATCTGTATTGATGGACAACAAGCTTAAGCAATATCTACGTTTAAAAAGCAATTTGGTCTTGTCCGAAACCCAAGCTTACTCAATTCCTTCTTCCAAAAATAAAAATATCGTATTCCAGCCATTTTTCTATTTATATTCTAACAACCCCAGTTGATGTCGAAACGCTGCATTAGTTGTTGTATAAGACAAAGCACCGGGACGGAACCATATCTGATTGCTTTCTATATTGCCTGGTTTTCCGCTCCGCCTACCGTTTACCCCACATGTCAGTACACCATACCGAGTAGTAGTCAGATCAAAGCCTTAACTCATGTACGTAAAATATAATAGAACGACTGTGTGTAATATCAACCAGGGAGTGGGTCCGGGATGACCAGCAGTCAATAATTATGTCATATCTAATACTCTCCTTGGATCCTTTACCCGACCTTGGTGGGTTATATAGAACGTATCGATTTAAAACGCATTTACCAATATATGTCTTCTTCGTCATGCCAACTACAAAACAGGTTTTACGAATAGAACATATCGCACGAACAACAAACCAAATCTCATGAGCAAGTGCCACCAACAGATCTTATCTCACGAACAACAAACCAATTCTCATGAACAAGTGCCACTAACAAATTATGTTTCACGATCAACAAACCAAATACCATGAACTTGTGCCACGAACAGTCTTATCTTACGAACAACAAACCAAATCTCATGAACTTGTGCCACGAACTGAAAATGACTCCTGCAATAATACCCCAATTGATCGTATTTCATGAATAAGTGCCATCAACAGAACATTTCTCGTAAACAAAACATTCAACTTCATCTGTGATATTGCTGTTCAGTAGAGAATATGTACTAAACGAGAACATTTCCTTTCCTAACCGGATTCCTTCATACCTTCTATACAAGAATATCACGATTATACCGTATGTTTGCACTGTTGTTTATTAAGGTCATGCAGGGCTTTTGATTGAACACCAAACAAAACAGTCAAATAGAGCCATACGGTAGTTTTAAAGGCTAATCAGCACAACACTGACAAATAGGGCTTCGTGGTATTCTTAAAAAGGCATCAACACAATGAGGTCATACAAGACCACACGGTAGATAAACAATTAACACAACGAGGTCATAACATACCACACGGTAAATACACAGTTAACGAAATGAGGTCATAAAATACTAAACGGTAGATAAACAGTTAATACAATGAGTTCATACAAGACCACACGGTAAACAAACAGTTATCACAATGAGGTCATACAAGCCCACACGGTAAACAAACAGTTACCACAGTGAGTTCATACAAGACCACACGGTAAACAAACAGTTATCACAATGAGGTCATACAAGCCCACACGGTAAACAAACAGTTACCACAGTGAGGTCATACAAGACCACACGGTAAACAAATAGTTAACACAAGGAGGTCATACAAGACCACAGGTAAACAAACAGTTAACACAAGGAGGTCCTACAGGATCACACGGTAGATACACAGTTAACACAATGAGGGCATACAAGACCACACGGTAAATATACCGTTAACACAATGAGGTCATACAAGACCACGCGGTAAATATACCGTTAACACAATGAGGTCATACAAGACCACACTGTAGATAAACAGTTAACACAATGAGGTTATACAAGACCACACGGTAAACAAACAGTTATCACAATGAGGTCATACAAGCCCACACGGTAAACAAACAGTTACCACAGTGAGGTCCTACAAGACCACACGGTAAACAAACAGTTATCACAATGAGGTCATACAAGACCACCCGGTAAACAAACAATTAACGCAATGAGGTCATACAAGACCACACGGTAAACAAACAATTAACGCAATGCGGTCATACAAGACCACACGGTAAACAAACAATTAACGCAATGCGGTCATACAAGACCACACGGTAAACAAACAATTAACGCAATGAGGTCATACAAGACCACACGGTAAACAAACAGTTACCACAGTGAGGTCCTACAAGACCACACGGTAAACAAACAGTTAACACAATGAGGTCCTACAAGATAACACGGTAGATACACAGTTAACACAATGAGGGCATACAAGACCACACGGTAAACAAACAGTTACCACAGTGAGTTCATACAAGACCACACGGTAAACAAACATTTACCACAATGAGGTCATACAAGACCACACGGTAGATAAACAATTAACACAACGAGGTCATAACATACCACACGGTAAATACACAGTTAACGAAATGAGGTCATAAAATACTAAACGGTAGATAAACAGTTAATACAATGAGTTCATACAAGACCACACGGTAAACAAACAGTTATCACAATGAGGTCATACAAGACCACACGGTAGATAAACAGTTAACACAATGAGGTTATACAAGACCACACGGTAAACAAACAGTTAACACAATGAGGTCCTACAAGATAACACGGTAGATACACAGTTAACACAATGAGGTCATACAAGACCACGCGGTAAATATACCGTTAACACAATGAGGTCATACAAGACCACGCGGTAAATATACCGTTAACACAATGAGGTCATACAAGTCCACACGGTAAACAAACAGTTACCACAGTGAGGTCCTACAAGACCACATGTAAACAAACAGTCAACAGTGAAGTGGGGAATGAGAGGAGAGGATTTGTCTTTGGTACAGCAGGTCAGTTTAGAAGTAGGGTTATAGTATATGTATATGTCACTGTGTACTACTACTCTACAATATGTACATGTTTAATTAACATTGTGTAAGGCTGCACATTGTATTGTTTTGTATGTGTTGTAAAACAGAAGGAATAAAGTCTCTGAATCTGAATAAAGAATTGGAATGGGAATCTTCAGACGATACACGATACGGCACTACTAGAGGGCTTACACCTGTCGCCGCTTACTATCAGGCAGCGGATCTATACATTCCCCGAACCTACACTGATATGTATACAATGTTCGAGCAAGTCATGTTTTTGAAGAAAAAATCTAGTCT